CTGCCGCAAAGGGGCGCCGAACGTGACAACTTTTTCACCCAGGGCGCTTTCGTTGCTTCTGGTGGTCGGGGGCGCCAAACAGGCGAACCACTCGCCCAAAACGTATTATGAAGACGTCACCCCAGAAAGAGGGTAGCCAATCGTGCCACTGGTTCGCAACCACATGCACCAGGCAAGCCTGGAGACACGAAAGGGCCAACCTGCAACAGGTGGGCCAACACGCAAAACCATGCCCTGCGCAGAGAAAGCAAAATGTGCGCATTCAGGGCAACGCGGCAGGACGGGTCTGCGAACGTGGCCGCAACCCAGCCCTACATTCTCGTGCATGAGCTTTGTGAATCGCCACGTAAACTCTCACGCCCGGTTTCGGGCCCCGGGACCCTCACAGATCGAGCCGGCTCGAGAAATACCGCACAAAGATGGGGTCTGGGGCTGCGGCACTGATTCTTCACGGTGCTGCATTTTGTTCGCGCCGTCGGATGCCAGGGCCAGAGACAGTCCAAACCAGCTTCGGGGTCGTGCGGTCCACGTGTTGCCCACAGCCCTCCGCGCGGCAAAATCGTGGCCCGAGCGCGGGCACCCTGAGAGGGATGATGGGGGGCCCTGCAACGCGCGGCGCAACTGGCGAGCATCGTGGTCCTGGCTGGCACTGCATTGTTTCCCGATGGTTGTCGATGGCGGTCCTGCCTATGGCGAGACGCAGATGCAACGCATGTGGTGGGAGGGCGGGTAGGAGTGAGCGAGACGGTCGTCGTTCGGGTGGGGTAGCTTGACCCCTCCCTCTACCCCCTCCCCCATCGGCATGGACGGCGGGTCTCGCCTTCTTGGCGCAAGGTTGTCCCAAGAGGACCAGCCCTTGCCTTGCCCTACCGTGCCCGGCTTTGCACTGTCCAAAACGAGACCGCAAGCACCGCCGCCCTACCCCATCGAGGGAGGGTCTCTGGAGGACCCCAGAGGAACTGGGAGGCCCAAAAGAAACCCGAGGACATCCGAAATATCTCGAGCATCGCTCCTCGATCCATCCCCTCCTCCCCGCCCCCACCTACACCTCGAGGGAGGCCTCCGTGATGGTACGCGCTCGCTCGCGCCCCAGCCTGAACGCGACCCACGCAAGGCCGATCGGAGCGTCAGTATCGCCCCGCTTTGAAACTCTCGTCGATCTCTGCCTGCTGGACTGGGCCTCGACACTCCAGATGATGAAGGAAGCAACAGGCAACAAGACGGTGAAAGAAAGACCTGCGTCCCAGAAATCCGATGCCGTGATTTGTCCTGTACGGGGTCCTCGGAAATCCCGGCCCTTTCCGCAAGGCCGGTTTCTCATCCCATGTCGTTGTGTTGACGTTGCCGGAGCCAGGCGAGGACCTCAACTACGAAAAATATCCGCACTGTGTTCCTATACGTTGGACGTCTGGGTTGGGTTAAGTGAGAAGCCTGCTGACGGGGGGCATCCCCCCACGCCGCCCCCAGGAGCAGTCAGCATCAAATCGGAAATCTAGATCGAATCGAAGTGTGCGTCGGATCGGGCTGCATCGGCACAAATTCGAGATCGGATCGGATCCGCCCGCCAGGATGCACAGCGGCTCCACGCTGCCAGCGGGCCGCATCCGGCAGTCAGAAAATCGAAATCGAATCGGATCGAGCACGGCGGAATCAATCGGATCGAAATGGACCCTGGGAAGAGGACCCGCAGGCGGCCAGGAAGTGCAACCAATAGAGGCTTCCTATATAGGGTCCAAATAGATAGGGACGGAGGCTCGCGCCGCATCGCCGCTACATTGGCGATGCATCGCCGATGCATCGGCGATACATCGGCGACGTCGGCAATGCACCCCACCGTTGGCGAGGAGAAAATCGGGCTCCACATCGAGCCGCATCGGCCATGCATCGGCTCCAGCGACCAGCCGGTCCGCTACTGCAAAGAGCGAGACTTTGGCATGGGGTGAACGGGTCCTGAGAGAAACAGGTCCTGGACCCTGGTGCCTTGCCCCAGGACGAGTTGTTCACCCTGAGTCGCTTTCCGACAGTCCTGGGGCCCGTGGAGGGCCCCGCGAGCCCGAAAACGGGGAAAACCCTCAGAACCCGTTTCCCTCAGGACCCGTTTCCCCCAACGGCGAGGCGTCAGGCGAGCGATCGGGCCGACCAGAACCGAAATCGAATCGGATCGGTCGGATCGAAGTGGAGCATGCTAAAGGGGCCCAGGGGCACACAAGTAAATAGACACAGATCCGAGGATTCCCCACATGTTCCAATACTTCCCTGAGTCTCGTCCTCCACTCCTCTTCCCTTAGCTTCCCATGTGTTCCCCGGAATCAACGATTCTTTGTCTGCGTCCATGCTTCCCTCCCGACATGCCCCCCCCCTCCCCACCCCGGGAGACGGCCGCCCCACGATATGCCCCCTCGGGCCTGCGCCAGCAGGGCTCCGGCGACAGCGGCCGCGGCAACGCGGCGGCGCGCCATCCCGCGCGAGCGCGCGCGGGGGAGGTGGGGGGACAAGCCAAAAGGCGAGGACAATCTGAGGGATGCGCCCTCGCAAACTGGCGAGGCGATGCCAATCATAGGGATAGGGATATGTTCCAGGCTGGTGAGGAACAGCTCTGCAGCGTGCGCGAGTCTCGAGATCGTCAGCCCCAAAAAACACAGCCGACGCACGCCATCCGGCATCAATGGGCACTGGAAACGACAGGGGCGTTTCTTTACCGTTTCCGTTTCTGCTTTTTGTTGCCGTTTCCAGCGCTGGTTCTTTGCCATTTCCGTCGCCGTTTTTGTTGTCGTTTCCGTCGCCGCTTCCGGCTGGTATCCGACGCCGTTTCTCTGCCGTTTCCCGCTGCAGCTTTTGTTCCTGATTCCATTTCGTTAACAAGCCCGTGCCGCTGAAACTACACAGCCAGTTTCCTCTTCTTTGCCGTTTCTGGTTGCCATTTGTTGGTCGTTTCCGCCCTCGCCGAATGCCTTTTCTGTTGCCGTTTTTTTTTATATCGTTTCCATTGCCATCTTTGCCGTTTCCGGTTGCCGTTTCCTTACCGCCTCCATGTTCAAGAAGGTAATTTTCGGAAACAATGAAGCAATGGCCCTGCCGTTTCTGGGGCCAAGATCAATCGTCTGTCGGCTGCAGAGCGGCACGGCGGTTGTGGGAGTGGCAACCATGATCTGCCGATCTCGGCGGCCTGGTGGCTGCACAGGGCCCTCCTGCCAGAGGCCCAGCGGCTCGAACAGCGCGAAGCGGAGATTTGTCCATACCCACCGCCAGGGGATCGAGCAAGCGGCGGATGTGGATACGGTTAACTCCTTCTAGGGTCCGACTGTATCCAGAGGTCCCAGAAGACCGATCCCCAAAGCGGTTAGGGGGCCACATGCCAACCCTACCCCTACCCCCCGCGATTTCTGAGGGGGAGGGTGGGGTTCACTTCGCTCAGGAGCTCCCGAGCGAAGTGAACCCCACCCTGCCCCTAAGAACTCGTGGGGGGTAGGGGTAGGGTTCGCATGGGGCCCCCTAGCGGTGGCCGCCTTGCAGTCGTCGGAGAGGCCACCCTCTCGGAGGACGCCCTGCCGGCGGGCTCGCGAGAAGGGCGCGGGCCCCAGGGCCGACACGGCCGGTCCCCCGAGAGGCGGGCGGTCCCAGCGGCCCGGGGGCGGGGGAGGAGGAGGAGCAGCAGCAGCAGCAGCAGGAGGAGCCTCGTCCTCCTCCTCCTCCTCCTCCTCCTCCTCCTCCTCCTCCTCCTCCTCCTCCTCCTCCTCGACCTGCTCATCGGTCCTCCTCCTCGCCCGTGTCTCCCAAAATTCGAGACGACAGGCGCCCGGAGAACTCCGCGCTCCGTGATGAACACTGGGGAGAGGGGGAAGGATCGGGGGGGGGGCTGGCTCGGGGGGGGAGACATCGACCCACAGTCGGCGATACATCGCTCCTTGATCGGCGATAAGCCCGCGATAGCGAAACCGCACGGGGCCCCTACCGGCGATGAAAGTGGGCGATAGGGGCCCGATGGGTTCCCCTCCGAGCGTTGCCCCGCCTGACGTTGCCCCTAACGGTGGCCTTCCCGAAGGGGGTCGGCCTCGCCTCGTCGGCGAGCCGCGGCATGGGCTGCGGCACCTTCTCCGCGAGGTGTTCGCCCGCGGCTACTTACAGAAGGAGAGGGGGCCATGAAATCTGGGAGATCCCATGGTCAATCCCATGGCCGTCCATGCGATCCTGGTATCAAGACACACACACACACTCACACACACACACACACACACACACACACACACACACGCACGCACGCACGTACGTACGAACAGGTGCAATATAGAATACATATGTTGTTAAATATAAATAAGTATGAAAGAACGCGTTTCACGGGCGCTTGCCTTGGGAACATTCGGCGGCGCGTTTCGACCCGGGGGGGGGCCCCCACCCCAACACTCGGCGCCGACGATCAAAACCAGGGGGACTCCCCTCCCCCCAAACCCCCCCCCCTTCGGCGCCGGCGCCGGCGCCGGCGCTGGCGGCCGCCAGCAGCGCCGACAACGGCGGGGACGCAGCGACGATGACCAGAGGCAGCCCAAGGGAGGGGGGGGGGTTTGAACCCTAGCGCGCGGGGGGGGGAGGTTTGAACCCCCCCCCCTGGCGCCGGCGCCGGCGCTGGCGGCGGCCAGCAGCGCCAGCGCTGGCGCCAGCGACGGCGGGGACACAGCTACGATTACAACCACTACCACCACCACCACTACCAGCACTACCACCACCGCCTCAACCCTCAACCCACCCCCACCACCACCACCAACCCACCACACAACCACCACAACCACCACCACAGCCACCGCCACCACCAACCACCACCACCACCACAACTCACCATCACAACCACCACCACAACAAAAACCCACCAGCACTACCACCACCACCACAATTTACCACACCACCACCACCACCACCGCCTCAACCACCACCACTTCCAGCAGCACAACCCACCGCCACCACCACAACCCACCACCACCACCACAAAACACCACCACAAACCACCA